AACCCACAGAAGGCAAGAGATACTTCCTGAGCTTTGAAGGGATTGCACTGTCCAAAATCCATAAATTTATCCTGCCAAAGCCTATAATGATTCAAGCCTAAAGCAGCTCTTGTGCCTGTAAGTTTGCATCAGCAAGAAAGGGATTCTGAAAGCCAAAGCATTGTGGCCCACGTGGGACATAGTTGCCACTTCCTGCCTCAGAAACGCATAGAGGGTACTGGACACAGGAGCCCCTCATCAGAGCAGTCACGTTCCTCTCTTTTTCCTTGGAAAAGAGTTCCCTGTATTCTTGTTCAGCAAGATTTGATCATTACCATAAGGTATGACTTGCGGGGGTGTTACACGTTCTAAGGGGAGTTCTGCGTTTTTCTTGTTCTTACTCCAAACAGCTCACATGCACTGAACCTTTAATGCAGTAATGTTAATGGACAGCCTGAAGGAGGTGATTAGGTTATAAGCTCCACTCTCACCAATGGGATGAGTATCCTTATAAGAGGGCTTGAAGGACTTTGATTGGTCCTTCTCTTGCCCTTCTGCTTTGTGAAGCTGCAGCAGGAGGTACCATCTTTGGAACAGAGATTTCATCAGACACCAAATGTGCTGGCATTTTGATCTTGGATTTCCCAACTTCCAGAACTGTGAGCAATACATTTCCATTATTGTTCGATTACCCAGTCTAAGGTATTTTGTGACAGCAGCTTGAACAAGGTCCATTTGCAGGGTTATTTAACATCACCTCTGGCCTAAAAGAGGGAGATTAAATGCCACTCAGAAATCTTGACTTAGAGCTGCAGGTGGTCCATGGTGAGGCTCTGTGGTCTCACTCTTTGAGGAAGAGATATGTCCTACACGAAGAAGAGGAATACACAGATATTTGGGGGAGATCAAAAGGGCAAACTATGGCAAGAGCTGTGTAATTGTTGCAAAACATTTGCTTTTTTTTTTTTACCATTGTATAGTATTAGAATTCTTAATACTCATCCAGGCACATGTTGCTAGAAAGACTTCACTTTCCATTCTTCTTGGCTCCTTCTCAGTCAGTTAAGTTCATGTAAGTTTTGGTCAGTTTGCTGTAAGTACTAGTAGTGTAAGCAACTTCTAGCAAGTGTTCTTGAAGGGAGGAGCTATTCTCTTCTCTTTACTTTTTTTCTTTTTTATTCTGAATAAAACGGGGAGATAAGGGCTGGCTGAAGCTAAAGCACTCAATTATCTCATGAGATAATTTAGGAAATGAAAATTATGCAGATAAGGCATAAAAACAAGAAACAAGAATCTGAGTTCCTGTCATTGTGAATTATTTTACAGTCTGTGAACTGTTCATCAGGCTTACATGAAAGAAAAATAAATTCGTATGTTTGATGCACTCTGCAGGGACTTGGGAGAGTTCAGCCTCACCCTGCCAAACCTAATCTTAATGAATACCTGAGAACTTGTGCTTTTGCATTAACCCAGTTTTCCTAAAATGAGCATATATCTTGGCGACTGAGGACGAAGAGTGGCTCAGAAAAGCCACAAAGCGAAGTAAACACAAGGTCACCTTATCCATATGACACATCAATTAGAAGAGAATCGAAGCTCAGGGAATTTGTATTCTGCTATACTATAATTTATATCATCATCAATATCTGTAGGAGTAATAAATACCCATCCCTTTTTTGTTTGTTTTGAGGTACTGAAATGTCAGAAACCTGAGTTCATTTACTTCTCTGGGCTTGGGACAAGCTGCCTGCCTGCTAATTCTTTAGATGACCATTTGCCAGATAGTTTTAGGAAGAAGTAGCCAATAGGCACAGAAGAGCTAAGGCTCTGGAAAGTGACGACATTATTCCAAGTTCTTTTAAAGTTGATAAATTTTTAATATCCTGACAATTATTTCAATTTTGTTCTTACCTAATTTGGTATAAATCTATTTTTACTTTCTAGCTCTTTCTTCTATCTCAGAACTGACTTCAGGGTTTTTTTTTCTTCTGACTTTGGTTTATAATGTGGGAACTTTTATATTGTATTTCTTCCAAATTATATTTTATTAACTTGATGCAGTTGTGGCCTGCCTCTGATGTCATAAAATTACTCAATCCCTTCAATATAATATCAATTCAAAGACTTCATTATTGGTTACCTAAATATTACTAGTTCCCTTCCGTTTCCTCTCTTGTACAATGATAACGGTTGTTTATAAAATCGCTTTGAAATTACCAAGGGGAAAGAGCAACATCAAGATAAAGTGCTGTGTTGTTCTTCCCTGGAATCATGCCTTGGCTCAGATTTGAACTTGGGGTATAAATTGTAAAAGGCTCTGCCAAGAGTGCTCCAGTTCTGATATGCGGCACTGGATGAATTTCTGCTTCTCAGCCAGGCCACTGTGCAATTTGGGAGAGATGGGAAAGGAGGGTCAGGCAGGGAAGGGATGAATTTTGTCCTGGGGCTATTACGCTACTTCCTACCATCGCCCTGCACACACTTTCTGCCTGCCTTCCTCCTACAAATGCTCACTGAATACTGAGGTATCTCATCTTTAAAGGCAGTGGCACCAACGAACTGGGGTCACATCCAGACACTGCAGACAATGGCCCAGGGGAGGCCTGGCCAAAGACTAGCATATGTGCTGCACATGGAGACTCTTAAGAAAGCACTGATCCTAGTCAGCCCCCAGCATTGTGAGATTATATTAAAAAAAAAACAACAACAACTATTGTTTTAAATCACTGTGTTCCAGAATGGCTTTAAATGGAGCAAATGGTCATTGAAATGAGCACTTAGTGTGAACCAGTAACTGTTCTAGAACCTGGAAGGTGAAAGTGAGCAAAACAAACAGAAATCAGTGCCCTCGAGAACCCACATAGTAGTGGGCGAGTCAATAACACACACACACACACACACACACACACACACACACACACAAATAATACCCAAGGAGAAAAAAATAAAGAAGCAAAAGGGAATATGAGAATGGGGGTAGCCAGGAAGGGACTCACTGAGAAGACTTTTGAGTTAAGAACTAAAAGGAAGTGGAAAGTTGGTTATGTGGCTTACCGGGGGGAAGACTTCCTGAGGAGCACATGATAGCCATAAAGCCCCTAAAAGAGGAGTGTGTCTGGTGTAGACAATGAACAGCAGAATCCATTTCAGCTGGGCAAAGGAAACAAGGGCAGGTAGTTGGTGATTACGTTAAAGAGGCTGGGGTATACATAGGTCCTGAAGGTCTGAAGAAGGACTTTGGCCTTCATTCTGCATGAGATCAGAGCCACTGGAAGACTTTGAGCTGAGCACTGATGGCATTTGACTTCCGATTTAACAAGAGCACTCTGGGTGCTAGGACGAAACAAGAGCAGACGGCCAAACAGACAAAGGAGACTGTTTGGAGCTTTTGTGACAGTGCCAGGAAGAGATGAGCGTGGTTTGGGTCTGGGTGGTGACAGGAGCAGGTGGTGAAGAAGAGATTACACTCTGTATTTTGAAAGTGTAGTGGATGATGGACTAAATTTGGGGTAGGTGAGAAAGAGAAGCCAAAGATGATACCAAAATATGAGCATCTAGAAAAGGATGGCACTAATAACTGAGGTGGAGAACTCAGCAGATGGAGCAGGCAGAGGGAAAATGTCCAATGCTCCTTTTTGATTTCCTAACTTGTCTTCCTTCTGCCCTCTCTCCCTTCCCATTCCCACACATTTCTCAGGAGACAACATATTAGCTATAGCAGGAAGTCCCAGGAGGGAAGGCAGCCCTTCCTTTGAAGTCTATAGCCACCATTTCAGGTCTAGGGATTTGAGTGTAAACAAGTGTCCAGTCCGGTTTGTTCCTGTCTTAGTATACTCTGGGCAGAGATGTGGGCTGCTGGGTGAAGCTGGCATATTCAAAAAATAGAAAGTGGGGAAAATTCTCTCTTCCTGTAACAATCATGGATGCTGTGAAGCACCTGGACTTTCTGAGAGGTGGCCCTCCCACCACAGTCAGGCTCAACAATGGATGCTCTCAACCAGATTTCCAGGACTGCTAAGGAGAGAAAGATCCTTGGGTTCCCCCATTCTGTTGCTCCCACAGCAGGATGTCAGATATCTCATGGCCACACAACAGGGATGCGGGCTGAAGAGTAATATTCTCACAAAATAACTTAGAAACTCAGTAGAAGAAAGAGTGGCTGGGAAATTTCCTAGTGGTTGAGGCTTTCTGGTGGAAGGTGAAACGAGGTGGAATCAATCAGACCTGGAGAATAGTGGTGGTACGTGCATCCCGGTGGGTCTTTGACAAGAAGGGTCCTTGAGTGTGGTGCATTTTCAGTATGCTCAGTCAGCAAGCCTGCACACCCAGCTGGTCTCAGTAAAAACCAGTGAGTGAACAGACCTGAAGGATCACAGTCAGAAGCGTGCTGCTAAATGTATAACAACTGGCTTCCGGATATGTGTGGGGTGGGATGATGGCAGAGTTTGCCAGTTTCCTTTGTGTAAATGCACTGGCTATGACTATTTCAGACTACCAACGGGAGGTGGCTGAACACAGATTTAATAAGGCATCGCCATGTATGCACTTTCTACCGAACAGGTATAATAGAGGCAAATAATCCATGAACATAGATAGAACAGTCAAATGTGGTAAAAGGATTATAAGTGATACATTTCGAGCACTTATCGCCTTAGTCTTAAATGTAATTATTTAATGGAAAGTATACAGAATATAATATTTATTAATGGCTACACTTAACACCTGGCCCTCCAAATCCCTGAAAACTTCACCAGTTCCTCAGCTCCAAAAGACCACCAGAAGAGCTTTAGAGCTCTTAGCGCTCATCTGCTTTGTTTACACAGAGCCACCTTCCCCATCTCGGGTGGCCCAGCCTTTGCCACGCGGTTGGCTTGTCTGATTTAACAAGGACCTGGCCCGCTGCTTCCATCACTCACCAGGTGAGCAGGAGCCAATTTCTACTTCCGGATTTGACTTGAGTTTCCGTTCCTTCTCTCCCAGGAGGCACTGGGCTCTCGCGAAAACAGCCCCCGCCACTTCTAGATTGTCCATATCTGCATGGGGAAAAACGGTCAGGGTTTTGACTGGGAATGGTCAAGAGGGGGAAGGGAACCAAATCTTTTCACAACTTTGCCCACCCAGGAACAAGGTCCTACCTGACCTACATTTATATAACTGAAAGAGACTGAGTGATTTGTCACTGAACAAGGAATTTGTGCTTAAGGGTGCTGTGACAGTGGAGTCAACAATACCACATTCATGTAAGTAACTACAGGAAGCCACTTAAGAGGTTCTTCATAGAACCAGCAAGGCACACTTCAGTGTGTGGGTTTTTTTGCTGTTCTTGCCTATAGTAGGGAGAAGCAACTCCAAGTACAGAAAAGAAAAACACAAGTTTACTCTAGACTGCTTTCCTTGGGGAGGCCTTGAGTTTCTCTCCTTTCCTCTGCTGTCTCCCCTCCCAACCCAACTTTATTTCTCCTTTCCCTCAACAATTATCCAGTGCCTCTCTTAGAACATGCCACCAAAGTGCTAGGAATGCCAAGATAAGAAAGAGGAATTCATTTTTCTTTTCCTTTCATTCATTCCCTACAAATCTGCTAGGACTTTCTTTAAAAATGCAAATCAAAATGTTACCCAACTCTTTTCCTTTCCCTTCTCTTTCATTTATTTACTTCCATTCTCTTCCCATTCTTCCTGTTTTTTTAAAAAAATTATACATATATATGTATATATATATATATATATATATATATATACATATATATATATATATATAGACTCCCTTTTTTATTCATCAAAAAGCCTGAATGGATTAGCAGCCAGTTCATAGGACTTTGACTTGAGGAGGGCCCAGACCAGTGGTACTGGAAGTCTGGCTACATACGAGTTGATTGAGATAGCAGAAGCTAAATTTCTCAGTACTGGGGAAGGGAGTTACAAATATGGAAAGAGGGAATCCAAAATAAGCCTTGTGGTGTTGGATTGAAACTGGAGTTACTGGTGTAAATTATGAGACAGATGGATAGATAGATAGAAATAGAGATGGATAGATACAGAAATGGAAGGTGTGTATGTGTATGTGTATACATACACATAGGTTTTCTAGCTCCATCCAGTGAAAGAACCAGAGGAACCCACAAATTAATGAGTACTGAGTACACTGAGTGCTCTCAGATCTTAGTTCTCAGCACTGCTGTATTCTTCAAGGGAATTATGTTTTCCTTGGACAAATGGGCTGATTCCAGGACTGGGGCCAGGTAAAAAACAATATGAACCTAAAAGATCTCTTCCTTTCCCTTCTCTTCCCTTCCCTTCCCTTCCCTGCCCTGCCCTCCCCTCCCCACCTTTTTTCTTTTTCCCTCCATTGTACTGGGTATTGAACCCAGGATTTCATACAGGGCTAGCACTCTATCACTGAGAAACACACTCAGCCTAACCCTAGAACATCTTATTGTACCAAAATATAAGGAATTTTTTTCTGAGAACGATAAGGATGTGTTAAAAGGACACTGAAATCAGCTTGAGGGGGCTTCTACTGACCAAATCTGGGACAAGTTGAGGCTTAAAATAAAATAAAGTCCTATAAATAAATTGCAGCCCATGTGTGCACAGAGATACAGTTCTGTAAATGAATAAATAATGTAAAGAAGATTATTTCTTACCATAGAAAGTCAACTAATATTCAGTAATCAATACAAACTAATGATAGGAGAAAAATTTCCATTCAGCAGCCATCAGAGTAGTAGTTAATTCAGGCAAGAAACATCAATGGAAGACGGGGAGGCTGGGTCCACACAGGCTCAGGGCTCAGCCACTCCCTGTCATGGCATTTCCAGATCAGTGTGGGTGACACCCTCAGAACTGACCATGTGTTGTGCATGTGGTGGACCTGGATGCACAGCCTGGCCATCTCCCAGGCTCTTTTCATCACTCGTGAGTGCTCAGTTCATGAGCTTGAACAGAATTTTACAGAAAGATTTGTAAAAGCTGCTCCCTGAAATTACGCACAATGTCTAACGCTAATATAATAATAACAGTTCTAACATTCATTGCGTGCTCATCATATACCAAGGTGCATTGACATGTCTTCTCTCGTTTGATCCTTCCAGAAAAGACTATTCTTGTCCACGCTCTGCCAACAAGAACATGGAAGTCCAAAGACTTTAAGTAGTAACTTCACAAGAAGAAGGATCTGCTTTATAAATACTGGCAGTGACTCAAGGACATGTGAGTGTCTCCAGGACAGCGTTCTGTGTCCAAAGTGTGAACCTCTGCTTTCCACGAGCAGCCTGTGTGAGTGGGAGAGTGTTTCAGGCCCCCAAAAGGTTAAGACTAAGCGGTAAGATTGGCATTAACCAGCCACAAACGCTTGCTCACTTGCCTAGGGATACTTGTCTTCCAGTGACATTTATGTCTTCAAATGCAATTTATTTTTTCCCTCCCTCACCTACCTGGCGAGCTTATGATGGCATAAACTGGAGGAGGGATTAGAAGGAGTGGAACATATGCAGAGGGAGCCAGCAAGGGAAATCAGCCCAGGTGTGGACAGTAAGGGGGTATTAGTCTGCAGAGAGTTTAAAAATAATAATGTAACAACTGAATCCTTCTGGTGTATAGAATCACCATGCTCCCTGGCGATTCTAAACCGTGTCAGTGATAAAATGTTCCTCCCAGCTTCTACCCTCTACCCCCTCAGAATACCACTGGTTGGAAGAGATCCATCAAACTGGATTGGGAGCTTTATCCAATTTCAAATTCCCAGAAAATGCAATGTCTTGGATGCAACAGATGCTCACTGAACATCAAATTGAAACAAACAAACAAACCAACAAAACAGCTATGCAATTTCACACAGTTATGTGTGCAGTCCTTTAAAATCTGGGCTGGAGCTCCCCCAGAGTCCTGTCTGGGTGTCACCTATCACAAAACAAACTTGCAGCAACACAGAGCCCCTCTGTTAAAACAGAGAAAAACCAAGGTAATTGCCCAAAAAAACGTCGGTGAAGTGGGAGCTTTGCCAGAGTGTGGCCGACAGCTGCTTTCATTTCTCACCCTCCATTTGTAGTGGTTATCGGGCATGCCCTCGAGTGGTTTTATTGATATATTTTATTTCGTTCACTTGGAAAAGCAGGAAAAATCACCTCATAACTCAAGATATTAAAGGATCCATTAGTTCTAGTCGGGCCTGGGATCCTAAGGGGAACTAAGTGCTTAGAAAATACTTCTCCTACCACGCGGACAGCCTCACCAGATTCCTGGAGCTGCTCATAATTGGGACCAGCTGGCAGGAGAGCAAGAGGCCCCTGTGCTGGGCTGGGAATCGGGTTACAGATTTCATCCCTAGAAAGAGGCTAGTCTCCATTAAGGGTTAAGATGTGGGAAGTTAAAAGATTGGTGCTTAAGAACTGTAATGTAAATTGGCTAAGTAGAACCTGAAAACAAAGAGCATTCACATGAGCCACTGTAGCCCCTTGCTTGGTGCAGGACAAAGAGCGTATAAAATACACCGAGGAGACTGTACAGGGCCACAGCTCCAGCCACACTGAGCTTTATAGTTTCTCTCTCCAGAGCTGGCATCCCCGATGTGTACACTGCCCTGTATCTTTCCGTTCCCCAAAGTTATTTGCTTCAGCGTGGCAGGACTGCCCTCCCCGCCGGCACACAGGAAAAGGAGGACTCCACGCAGGTAGCATCTGTGACGCTCAGCGCAGGCCCTCCTTGCTGTTTCTGGAGCTCCACTTTCCGCTTCCTAGGTTTGCCCTGCACAATTCCTGAGGCCCGACCGCGAGGCTGTGGCCCTGGCCCTGGGCTTGCCAGCCTGGATTTGGAATCTGAAGGACTCGAGACAAGCCCTCAGGCGCGTGCGCGATTATTCAGCGCAAGTACTGGCCGTGGTGGCCTTAGCAACTGGAGGCCAGGGTGCTGGTGGCTTTCTCCGAGAGTGGGTCTCAGTGAGGCAACCTTGGCCGTTTCTTTAGTGTCAGCTCCTTTGGTTCAGGCTTGTTTTCTGAGCCGGATTTTCCAGGCTTCCTGTCGATTCTGTGAACTATTTGAATGTTCAGCAATATTTATTTTTTATTTTTTCTGTTTAACAGTTAATTTCTGGTGTCAGAAACCAAGTACCCTGCTTAGTATAACATCTGGCCTTACAAAACTTAGAGATGAAGACCAGTGCTTAAGAGGGAGAAGGGGAGAGAGGGAAAACACAAGTGGAATAAAGAAAGAGAATTAGGAAGCAGAAGAGGTTGAGGCATCGTGGAACTGTGGAGAAAAGGAGAGGGGAATGATGTTGGGGTGGGGAGGGGAGAAAGTAAAAGAATCAGCAGGTGAGGCAGAAAAGCCCGGAAGGGGTCATGCACCGTGTTAACGCTTGTAATAGGAACCTTGAAGGAAATTGCCAAAGTGGCCTCCCTGAGGTATTTCTGCTTTTCTATTTCTGGCAGATAATGTGGTTTAAAATTTTTTGTGTGTGTGTGACTGTTTTAGGAACAACAGTTCCTTGATTTGGACATGCTTCTGGGGATAAACGAAGGTATTAGCTTTTCCTTTCTTCATTTGTCTAGCTTGCTGCATGCTCGGACGGGCACAGATATATGGGCATGAATATGCACAGTGGGATATGATAAATATGTGCACGAGGAAAGTAGGTCTTGGGCTAGTTGTGTAGGTGGAGAAATTTTATGTAATGAGCTTATTTAGAATCTCAAAGGGAAAACATTACTTACTCTGCCATATTAACATACATTTGTCTTATTGGGAAGACAGAATGAAGAATCTTTGACAATTAATAGAAATCATAGGAAAAATTATGATTAAGTGCCATCTGCTGGCGTCTGTGCACGTTGTTTTTGTGCAGCTTCAAGCCTGTCCTCATGATTACCCAGAGTCTCTCTGGTGCTGAGGGTGCACTTTCCTGTTCCATATTTGGCCTGTTAATGAGTACGGCCTTTTGTGGGTACTTATGTGTGGGCGGGGGTGTGTGTGTAGATGCGTGTGAATGAAACTAATTTGGGAAAACAAATTCACCTTACAAAAATCCATCTCCTCAATTCTGCTCGGAGAGAGCAGACTAGGGCTTATTTTAAAATTCTGTTTTGGTAGCAGATTGCAAGAGCAATATGTGCTTAGCCCATGTACAGGAGTGGGGTGCAGTGCTCGCTTCGGCAGCACATATACTAAAATAGGAGTGGGGTGCAAAGCAGGGTTGGTGCTTTGAAAGTGACTCCCCCTTCGGCTCCCATCCTCTGCTCAGACTGAGTGTGTGTATGGTTTACCTCTCAAAAGCTCTGTCTAGCTTCTGGCAGGTGAGGCATTTCCGTATTTCATTTTGATGGCACTGCCACAAGGGAGACTCCGTTGCTCCGAAGGTGGTGTGAAGGAGAACAGTTTCCACGTGAACATATTTGACCTCTTGCCCTTGTCCAGCTCTGGAGCCTGGGCTGGAAGTGCTCAGCAGGAAGTAGGTCTTGCTGTTAGTAAATCACCAAGACTCGTGTTTACATGGTGAGTCGGGTCCAGGCCACCCTTTGTCTCTCCAAGTAGACCCTGGAATGGATTATTTATCTGGAAAATTCACATTCCAAATCCATCACTTTCAACTGTGATGAATGTGGTTGATGGTCAGTAGTTCTCAAGTAATAGTACTAGTAATAGTTACCATTGCTTGAGTGAGCCGTAAAGCAGGAGCTGTTTTCTTAGAATGTCAACAACATCTAATGTCAAATGAGCATCGCTTATTCTTTTAATGTTATACATGGTACACGAAAAGAGTACCTGTAGGATATGTCTGCTATAAGGTATAGTAATAGTAAGATGCACTGCAATAGTCCCCTTTCATTTATTTGACTTGGGGTTAGAATCGGAATGTTACTGTGCTGTTTCACAGTGGTAGATTCACAGGTGTGTTGGCTCCGTTCTCACACTCTTGTGAGCTAAGTGTGACTCTTCCCATTTTACAGATAGGTAAATCAGAGAAAGAGAAGAGAGGAAAGAAAGAAAGAGAAAGAGAAGCAGTAGCCACGTGACCGCTTTGTTCATGGACCTGTGGATGCGTCACTCCCGGGCTGAGGTGATATAACTTCAGTGAGCACAGGCTCTCTCTGGTGCGGCAGGCACTGTTAGCACTTAGCTTTCACTCCCTAGAGTTTCTTCCTACCATCAGCCTCTTTCTGTTGTCACCTGTAACTTCTTGTTCAAGGGGTGAAACAGGTCAGAACTGCCCGGGATGGCCTTGATAGCACCACGTAGCACATGGTGATGAATACCACCCTCTTTTCCCCCCTTGAGTGGGCGGACTCTGGGGCACATGTCTTGCTCTGTCTCAGAGTCCTTCAGTCATTCCCTGTTCATGGGAGCATTGCACGCTGATTTCCTTTCCTTCTGGCTCACTTTCGCATTCCTGAATAAAGTTCTTGTGCTCACATCCAGTCTTTGAGTCAGTTTCTTTTGTTCCCAGGGTGTAGCTACTACTGAAGAGTGTCCTCCATGTGGGGGCTCATGTCCCTTTCAGTGCAGGCCATATGACCTCAGGGTCTGGGAGAGCCATCATCCACAAACAGCCTTTACCTGCCGTCTCCATGGAGCCCCTCAGCTACAAGAGAGCTACCTCCCCTAAGGTTCTCCATGACTGACACAGAGGAATAAGGGCCTGGCCATCCCAGCTCAGTCTGACGGCTCTGGAGAGCTCCCCAAGCTCTGGAGATCCAGGTGAAGGGAGAGCCACAGCTGGGTCTGCAGGGCAGCTCAGCTTCGCCCTCTGCGCAGTCCAGTGTCTTCCTCTTTTCATGGGTGTTGACCCCAGGGGTACCCCAAAGTCACTCCCTAACTAACGTCCTCTATGCTGGTTTCCTTTCAGACTGCTCTGCGTGAACCACAATCCGCCCCACTTTATCAGCATGGGTCCTCTAGTCCCCAGTGCACATAACGGGAGCCACACCCCTCGTGGGGAGTGTGTCCAGTGAGCGACACTAAGCATTTGTTGTGTCGGGTCTGTGATATTTCAGGCTTAACTTGTTAGGACGGTGTGCTGGTCAGTCTTTTTGTCAAGGGAACAATACACCCGGCGTACACAGCTTAAGGGGAAAAGGACCGGCCCACGGTTTTCAGGTGTTTTAGCCCCTGGCTGGCTGGCTGCAAATGCAGAAACATCATGGCGGGTCTACATGGTGGAGGAAAACTGCTCAGCTCCTGACACCTGGGAAATGAGGAAAGCAGGAGCCAGAGAGGGA